AGCATCATTTCACACCACGGCGTCACGTCGTGCTGTTTGGTTTTCGGGCTTTGTGTTTTTTTTTTTTTCCGGTGACTTATTATGCTGTGAACTATATCCATCAGACAATTTGAATATGTCTGTAGGGGGTCTTGTGGTTTACTATCTCTCTCACTGCTGCTGCTACTGCCCTATAACCTGACTGTGGGGTGCGACTTCACCAAAAGCCTGCTGCGCCATAACATCTGTCTTTATTATTCTGCTTCCTGTCAACCTTTCAGCAGCTGGAAACAAACACTAATAAAAAAATATGTTTTTGGCTAAGTGATCACCCCACTGAGAATCTCGGCCTACGCTGGATGGGACAGTGTACAAAAGCAAGAGTGTCTGGTTGCATGCAGAGCCGGCTTCCTTGATCATTCTCGCTCGGAGTCTAGTGGTATGTGCGCTTTTGCCCCTGAGGCTCAAAGCATTGCATCTGTAACCGCTGCACTAACTGATTGCTACAAGTGAGGCAGCAGCCCTGTCTGGGCCCATATACACATTAATACGATTACGGCATAAACAAGATATAAGTGTGTTGTCTCTATTCATTCTTGTCATCTTTCCCCCCTCGACCCGCTGGAGATTCTTGCTTTAAAGTTGAGCTGTTATTTGATGTGGGCCACGCTGTGTAATACTAATGTGTGGGTGTGTGTTTTTTTGGGTTTTTTTCTTAAGAAAGAGTAATTTGTATATAATAATAATAATAATAATAATAATAATGCCTCCGATTCATTCATTCAGTTCAGTTTATTTCTTCATCGGTCACCACACTGAAAATAAATATTACGTATTGGTATACAGTAAAAGTACAAATATACATTCACTCCATACATGGTGGTGATAAACTACTACTGTAGCCAGTCGTAGTAGTAGTAGCTGCCCTGGGACACACTGACAGAAGCGAGGCAACCAGTATATGCCCTCGACCCCTCTGACCACCACCAACCATTCACACACACACCAGACTCATTCTGGGCAATGTGGGTGAAGCGTCTTGCCTAAGGACACAACGCCAGTTTAGCACTTTACCGCCGCAGCCGCCCCACTGTGGCAAATAGTGTTTCCAGAGGTCTCCCATCACAGTATTAACCAGGCCCTGTCCTGCACAGCTCGGCCACAAATTATGGCTTGGTGTAATGTGTGAAACTCTTTGGCTTTGCTTTTTGAGGCACTTTTCATTGAGAGTCTGGCTGCAGCCCCGGGCTGCACTGACCTTCACTGGGCCCCTGAATTGGGGTAGCTTCACCCGCTCATGGTGGTCGTCTTGATCCCTAGGGGGGGTTGTTTTTTTCGTCAAGACCCACTCTGTTAGTGACAATGGCCTGTTGTGGAGTAGAGCTGATTTCCCAGAGGTTCTCAAGGCTAAAAGCTTTTTAGGAGCAGGGTTAACCCTTGTGGACAGATGTGCTTGCTGAGGACGTATGTACTGTAAGGAGAGGGCTGTTTGGTGCGCTCCCGCTTTCACCTGCTCAACACATTTAGTTTGGAGGGGTGTTTTGGCGATGCTCAGGAATGCAGCCTGGGATTTTCTTGGGGGCCTTTTCTGGTGGGTCTGTGCCGCTTTGACTGTCGGGCTGCCTCATGCATCTGCTCTATTTTCTCTGTTCTTGAACTCTAGAAACCTAGGTGCCCCATCTCTATGTTCTTGAGGGCCCCACACATCGCCGCTTGTGCTTCATCGCATAGACATTGTGGTTTAGGACCCAATTGTGCAAGGCAAATCGTCTTCCTCGAACGCTGCCTTTGGGGCCAGCAGAGTAAGAATGATGCGATCCTCAGCCACTGCGGTTTGGATAGCTTGTTTCTACTGATCCAGATGTGCTGTTTTTTGTCCATGTCATCTGAGTCTGTCTCTCACTTCTCTCTAGCTCCTGTTTTTTGTGGGTGCCATCAGAAGTACTTTCTGTGAAACCAAAGAGCTGTTAAAAGAGTGCACAGCGTTTTCCCGCCTTGTCTGCCGTCTTTGCGCCTGTTTGCGCTGTGACTCTAGCTCGTCTGTTCTCGCGCCTCTCTTTCCTTCCGCAGAGGTTGAATCTGACGGAGTGTTCTGCCCTCTTCTCCTGCCAGTTTGAGTTACCACCTGAGTGCTCAAGACTCTGTGATTTGTTTCGCAGGTCTCTTTCTGCGGCTGGTCATCCACGTTGGCTCAAACAGCCAGACCTGGGAGTTTTCGCTCCTCCTCATCTTGGCGAGCCTTGGCCTCCTGCTCTTTTTTTAATTGAGCAGTTCGAAGCGTGGCCTCCTCTCGAGCACTTGCTGCTGTTTGGAATCTTTCTTGCGTCCTGCTTGAAGGTACCCTCTTGGACGCGCGGTGACCTCGGCTGCTCGCGTCGCCAATGCCTCTCAGTCTCTGCACTCTGCTGCTGCTCTCTCTGCTGTTCAGTATGCGTTTCAAATCCACACTCTCTAATACTCTAATATGTTGCTTTTTTAGTGCCTTCTTTTGTCAGCACCCACATCATTTTGGACTGAGGAGCGGACATGGGAGTGCATCTCTGTTCGCTGGAGCCTTTTTTTCCGCAATCAAGGCATTATTAAGAATTGTGCAGCCTGGGCACTCGCGTTCTTTGCGCTCCTCGATTCTGCGGCTTCATCTTTCGGACATCCTGTTTATTGAGGAGTTGCTCCTCCTATATATTCGGACACAGCGGTCCTGTTGGCCCTTCTCATGGCCTCTTCTCTTGCTGAAGTGGATAGGGCCTGATTGTCCTTGGTTCACTTTGGGACACAAGCACAATCCTCTGAAGGTCCCTGTATGGAGCAGACTGCTGCAATATCTTTCTTTGGCTGCTCCAGAACACTTTGATTCTGTTCTTCCTGACGTCTATCTTCTCAGCCAACAGAAGTTCCTGAAGTTCCTTCCTCCTCCTCGCTCACTCTCCTCAATAGGGAGTCGATTTTCCTCCATAGGGAGTCGATTGTCCTTCTTCTGCATTCTGTCTTGGACTCTGTTTGTTTGAACTACTTTGGCCCTCACAGCCGGGCACCCTCACAAGTCTTTTCCATAAGGCGGATGATGTCATATAGAAAAATTGCTGTTGCCATGGAGACAAAGATTGCCACAATTGGAGCGATTGTTTCCATGGTAACCCATAGCAACACCACAACCAGTCAACGGAGGTCCGCAAAACTTTTTCTGGATAAATGATTTGTTGTTCATTTTAGTATTGCTTAACAAGCTGGTGTCAAGCTCAACAGACTACTTTAAGAGTCACTAGAAAATCGTATCTAAGAAGCCATCAAGTAATGGCTAAAAAGGGCAAAATGTTATCATCACTGTTTCATTTTGGAAAAGTATTCCTTTCTAGTTGGCCAGCCCATTCTTCCTAATTTTCAAATATAACTTTAATGTACATTTTGGCTCACGCTCCACTCAACCGGTTTAATAAAGTCATAAGGAAAGTAGTGAGCGGCTCACTAGAGGCTCCGTGAGAGGCGGCCCGTGTGATCCCTCTGCGTAGTAACCACGCTTCTGTTCAGTCTGCTGGTCTGTTAGAGGTACCAGAGTGGAACTCACTACCACAAAGTGAAACGCAGAGCACATGCGGGCTTTTTACACAGCACCAAAAGGATGGACCGGTAAACACATACACTCTGCCCTCATTAACTGATGTACGTTATTGCTTGAGGTCTTGTAAATAGTGTATTACTTGAATGGTGTCAACACTCTAATGTTAGTCTTGATTTACGTTGTCTCTGTCTTGTAATTTTTGTAATGTAATGTATTTTTATTTTTAAAATCAGAATCAGAAATCATTTTTATTGCCACGTAAGTAACAGGAGGTCACAGACTAGGAAATTGCTTTGGGCTCAGTGCAACAGTCAAAAAGAGATAATAAAAATAAGAATAAAAAACACTTCTAAAGAATAAATTTAAATTTAAAATAGAGTTACAGTTACTATTTACAATATACAAGTGCACTTGGTGCACACAATGTAAGGTGACAGCAGGTACAGTGAAGTAAGTGACGTATGATGGGCAGTAAAGTGACTTTATAAAGGGCGGGGGACAGGTTAAGAAGTGTTCAAGAGTCCAACAGCAGAGGGGAAGAAACTGTTCTTGTGGCGGGTAGGTTCTTAGTCCTGATGGACCGCAGCCTCCTGCCTGAGGGGAGTGGTTGGAATACAGTCCATGTGCAGGGTGAGAGGGGGTCGGCTGTGATACGACCAGCCGGCTCTCGAGCTCGGGTCCTGTAGCGTACTGCGGCCTGATCCACTTCTCTGGTCCTGCCTAATTAGCGATGGTTTTATGTAGTTGCATTTACAATAATCGGAAACTGAATCCAGTGCGTTTTATGCCGATCGTGCGAGGGAGCTTCCTCTTGGTAGCTAGCTCTGCCACCGACCAGTGCTTTTGAACCTTAGGGGACCACCAGACGTTGGCGTTTTGCGGGCGCAGTGCTCGGCTTGGTTGAGAAAGACATTACCTGTTTAGCTGATTAGAAACGTATTTATTTGTATAGCACATGGCACATACAGGAACACAAAGAGCTTCATAAAGCAATAATTCTACTAAATTGAGCAGTTGTTAAAGAGGGCTTGCTGCAGATGTCAGTGGAGGCTGTGGATGAGCAGCTGCAAGTTCTCCCTTGCTTGTGGTTAGAGTTGTCAAGGCGTGGGTGGTGAATACTGTGCCTTTTAACTGATACTTTGGTTACTTAAAGGTAGACAAGGACGGTCAAAACTTACCAGAAGTAAAACCATGACCAGTATGATTGTGTTTCAAAAATTAAAAAGACAACAACAAAAAAATCCCTTGGAAAAAAATAAAAATAATGTTGTTATTATAATAACAATATACATCTTCAACGTGTTATTTACTATTTCTCTAAACCCTTTTGAGAAATGTTTTTTAAATTGTAGCATAATTTAAGAATACAGGTTTTCTTAAATTATAAGTTGAGAAAACAGGTTTTTTTTTTACAGGTTTGAAAAAAAGGCAAAAACAAAAGCCTGGATGCTAAAGTTTATCAGTGTCAGTCATATGAGCGGCGCTTCCTCCTGCGCTGCTTTTCACTTCCCTGCTCGCTTGGCGGCGACGGGGGCGGGGCTTCACTGAAGCATGAGGTCTGCGTTTTGCCCAATTGTGACTGATGCATGACAACAGATCATCACAACACACACATAGTACTGAGTGATGTCATGTGCACAACCCGGCGCTGAAGTTTGAAAAGCTTATTTAAACATATAAAGACAATCAGGACTATCTCACACTGGACCCGAGGGAACCATGGTCCTATAATAACTAGAAATGGTACAATGGCTGAAGCCATTGGCAGTGGCTGCATAAAAGAAGAAGAAGAATGTGTTGTAAGTGCTGATGTGTTGTTAAATTGCTGTAAGTGTTGTACGATGTTGTAAATGTATTGTATCTGTGGTAATGCATTTCATGACACTTAACGTTGCCTATCTTACCCGTCCGATCCCAATGTGTTGTATGGGGAGCTAATCTGCGTAGCTCTACTGGACCATCTCGGTTTTCAACTAGATCTGCCGATTTCACAGTCGTACTTACTAGCCTACAGAGAGCTTGTCCCACAACCGGCGCACACGGCGCGACGCCCACGTGGTGTACCTACCTCGGAGTCAGACTAAATTCACGGGGGTCTACCACCCACGCAAAAAAGTCTCATAGAACTCATGTTAAACTAAAACAGCTTCGACTTCTTTTCTTCTTAAATCCTTGGTTTTCTTTAACTCCCACACTTTATGGCACAAAACTCTTGCTCGATTCCTTCCGCTCTGACGCCGCTCATCTGTGCTCTGATCAGCAGTTCTGATTGGTCAAAGCGCCGTGCCCGAGCCCCCTCTGTGCACCGTGATGAGAGCACCACCGTGTATTTGGGCAACGCATATTAGGAGCCCGGATCCGCTGCGCTAGACCGGGAGGACCAGGACAATGCCCAAATATAGGCGAGTTCTGCTAATCTCCCAGCCCCCTGAAGTCCATGCGTACTGAGCCAATCATTTTAATAGGGCGCCTTCTTGGATCACCAGGGGCTTGCGGAAGAAACTGACTAACGTTGGAAAAATTTTGGAGCAATTTTTGCATAGAACCGGCACAAAAACAGGAAAGTGATCCAGTACCAGGAGGCGGCGCTTCCGTTCCCGTGAAAATAGCTTTCGTACCTTGTGGATCGCCTTGGCTTTTAAACACCAATTGAGTAAAATGGTTTACTATTTACACTTAATGTATGTATGTGTGACTTTTTATGTGGTTTTCTTTAAATTAAACGGAGGAATTAGGCGTTACTGGTCTGTTAAATTTACAGTCTAATGTTGATAACCATGGCTTATGGGTGGTGTTGATGTGCCCTGCTTAGGTTGGACTAAAACCTGCCTTTGAGGGACCGGTTTGACACCCTGGTTTAGGGTATGGTTAGCTTCCTGGGAATTCCAAGATTTTCGGTCTATTTATGTGTGTTTGTCATTTTAAATGTAGTCTAGAGTGGCATAAATAAACCAGGCTCATTGCAATTGGTAATAAAATATGTATTCCCTTGAGCATGGGCCAAATTAAACATGAATAGTAAATAATGTAGGGCTTTTCTAAAATGTAAATCTGTAATTGATGTTGTAATAAATAAGATAAAAGCAGATGTGAATTTGATTGACCCGGTATGAACTCTGTCTCTTCCCAAGCAACAAAGACCTGGTCTCCCTTGTTCCTTGGTAGTCCAAAAAAAAAAAAAAAAAAAAAAAAAAAAATATGAAACAAATGGTGCGGAACTATGAGTTAATGATAGTTAAACTGGGGGGATTCTGCTAATCCTTTCGTTGTTTGAAGAAGGAGGTGGATCATGAAAAGCCTCCTGTCTTATTCATGGAAGGTAATATTTCTATAGATTAGGTGAGGGGTAGTGTGTGTGTGAATGATTTTGTTTTAGGTGTGGGCGAGACGAAGGAAAAAGGCCGGACCCTGGACCGGAGCTGCGCTGATAACAAAACGCCCCATTCTTCCTGGACATCTGCTCTTTTTTGCTTGGGCTGGAGGCTGGAGTCAGTGAGCGCAGGGGCCAGAGAAGGACTGCATAGCATAGTTTTAGGAGCTCTCTTTTGTTTGAATGTTCTGGTATCTGATTGTCAAGATAAATTTAAATAAGATGTTAAAAACTTGGAGAATCTTGTCGGATTTCTGTACCAATGTTGATCACGTCAGTCAAATCCTTTTTTGACCCACATTGATCAGATTTCTCCTGAAACAATTTCCATGGGAACACTTGGAAAATGTGTATACAATTTGCCTAACTTTTCCAGACACAGCAGCTAACAACGCTTTAAAAGGTAGCGAGAAGGGAGATGTCCCATCAGCAGGGGTGAAATTAAGCACAGATACCGAACTGGCATTTGGCACAAGATCTGGCTAATTTATTATGATACCAGTCATCACACTGCGCCAACACCCCCACGCTCGAGGTGACCCCACCACAACAAAACATATACGATCACCAAAACAGCCATAAGACTCAATATGTGGAAACAAAAGAAAGGAGTCAGTGTCAGTGGTGAAGCCACGGTGTACTTACGGGCCCGCGCATGCACCAGGTCACAAAACGGGTCCTGGGGAGCCCACCAGCAACCTTGGAGAGATAAATCCACCGTCTCGTTTGATCCTCTGCACCACGGTAATCCAACAGAACGATACTCCAACTGAGGATTATAATCACAAAAACTCCAGGTAGAGGTGTAGGCCTGACTCCAAGTCCGCGTCTGACGTCGAACACGCGCGCCCCCGCGTCGTGCCCGTTCACTCCTAAATAGAGTCACCAAGTGCGCCACCAATGGCAAAACATATTGCTCCAGTACCTGGAGACTTATGAAACAAAACACAAACACAGACCTGGTACATCAAACTTGGTTGAAAATACAGAATGTCACCCCTCTGAGTGACACTTAAGGTAAGGAACTACGCGGGCGTTACATTCCCCCCCCCAGCCCAGCGCTTGACCCCAGGACCAAAATAAGGCTTCATGTCTACCACATTTTTTAGTATCCACCTTTATTCTTATCGGACAACCAACTAATTTGGTAATTTACAGGTCCAAGGCTTCTATTACCCTAGGCCGGCCCTAACACACTTGGTGCAAGTTTGGCAGACAATCTTTGAAGAAGCTTTGGACAACGGATGCGGACCTAATCCCAGACCAGGGACTACCGGACAGCAAAGTGTACATCCTGCGTGTGCATTATAATATCTGGCTTGTCTGGCTTTGGCGCGCAACGTGTCTCGCAACCTCTCCCTACTGGAGTGTGTGTCTGAAAGAGTCTGGTATTGCGGGTGTATGTGGAGCAGGAGCTCTGTGAACAAGTCTCTCAAGGTGGGCGCCAGAAGCTCTCGACCCTAGTCAGCTGGCAGGTGTCACGGCCTGTGGTCTCATGTACCGCCCTAGTGTTAAGAGCAACCGAATCAGGCAGCCATTGTCCCAGTCTTGGTTGCTGGTTCCCAACATAAGAGGCAATATGGTCTTGAGGGTGCGATAAATCTCTGTCATGTTGGTTTTGGGGGTGATAGGCTGTGGTTGTAGTTTATGGGTGACGCCCCAGGTTTCACACATTGGGCCAACAGATGCTTTGTGAAACTGAGGCCTCGGTCCGACCACCATTGAACTTCGGAAATCCCCAGCGGGTAAAAATCTATCTTTCAGGACCTTGCAAAATTTGGGGTTTTGGCATCCTTCAAAGCAAACACCTCGACCCATCTGCTGTAGTAGTCCACCACTACCTTTAGCACAGAGTTGCGGTCTTTGCTGAGTGGGAATGGTCCAATGAAGTTCCCACACCGTTCTTTCCCCGGAACCGTGACCTTCAGTAGATGGCAGGAGCTGGCCGCTTTCCCATAGGGAAAACATTTGTACTGCTGGCAGATAGTGCACGTTGAGGACGTGTTGCGTCATCGTTGCGGAACAGATGGCCACCCAGGCCACTGGAGGGATCTTCAAAAGGTTTCATCCTGCCCAATGTCCACAAATGGACTGTGGTGATAGTACAACAGGAACTTGGGGCACCAACGCGGCCGGAACCACACTTGGTAATTAAAACCTCCGTACTTGGAAGGTACGCCTCTGTACCCCACCGTCCTGTTGGAGTGGTAATGGGAATGCGACCCGGGCTTGCTTGGCGGTCAGACGGCCCGAGCTCTTGACAGGAGGGTCCGCCTCTTGGGCCTTAGCAATCTCCCCCCCCATGCAGGGATCATGGGATGTCGACCAATATGTTTTTTTTGCACAGTCAGGCAAAACCTGTCCAGCTTGGGGAATGGGGGCAGGAGAGGCATCAGGGACCACGTTGCAGATCCTTTTTGTAGTGGACTTGAAGGTAAACGCTTGAAGACGTAATGTCCAGCTGGGTGGAGGAGTGAGGATGTCTTGGGGCAGTTGAACGCCCAGGCCAGGGGCACTGTGGTTCAGTGTAACACGTCAAACTGTGGTGCCTCAAGGAGTGCTTCCACTTTTCTATTGCCCACACGACTGCCAAGCATTTCTTTCTCAGCGGGTGGAATATCGGACCTCGGCGCACTGAAGAGCTCGGGATGCAAACGCCTCAGGGACGCTCTCACCGTCAATTTCTTGGTGTGAGTATGGCTCCCAATCCCACATCACTGGCGCATCACAGTGGACTTGGAAACGAGCTGAGGTTGTGGGCTGGCTAGGACTGGTAGGTGATTGAACCAGGGCCTTGAGTCGGTCGAAGGCAGCCTGACACTCCGCAGACCCACTCCCATTGCACATCTTTTTTTTTAGATGGTTCAGGGGTGCTGCAATGTCAGCGAATCGCGGAATGATCTTGTGGTACCATCCGACCATACAGAATCGTGAGACCTTTTATCACTGTCGGTGGAGGGAACTCCATGATAGCCGACACATTGGTGGAGATCCACCTTAATCCCTTTTCTGAGACAAAGGTGGCCGAGAAAGGTGAGCTGGCGTGAAACCAACAGCATTTTTTTACGTTGAGGTCAGGTGTGACATGGTGGAGCTTGGCAAAAACACTGCATTCAAGGTCATGGCGGTGCTGTCTTCAGTTTTGGAAAAGACTATAAAGTCGGTCAATGTATACTGAAACACAGACTTTTCCCCTCAACTCGCCTAGGACGATCTCATCAGTCGCTGAAACGTAGCCCCAGCGTTGCGAGACGAAAGTTATGCCTTAATGAAACAAGCCCAGATGGGAGGTCTGGCTGTTTTGAGCTTGCTCTCATCGTCCATAGCAACTGCCAAGTACCCACTACTTTATTCCTGGGAGCTAAAGTACTGGCGGCCATCCCGGGACTCTAGAAATCTCATGAATCAGGGGGCCCATGGGATACGATCATGCCTCGTCTTTCATTTAAGCCCCTGGAGTTCCACGCAGAATCGTGGAGTTTCCATCCTTTCTCGGAGTGAGGACCACTGGAGAGGACCATGGGGATGCGGATGGCTTCAATGACACCATGGTCAAGCATTTTTTGGTCTTTTCTTCGATAAACAGCTTGCTTTATGGGGCCGATACTCTGTAGGCTCTTTTCCGCACTGGTACGTCCATCAGTGGGGATGTATCCTGTGCTTTTAACTTGTGTGGCCAGTAGCCTCAGTCCAGACTTGGACACTTCTGCAGCAGTGGCGCACCACCTATGGCTGGAGCCTGCAGGAGGGGAATGTCAGTGTGGGTTTGTTCGGGCAACGTAAAAGTTCACTGAAGGTGGCTTGTGACTCCAGTGGCGCGTTGCTCTTACTTTGGGGAGAAATGAATACTCTGTGCCAACCTGGTTATGTAAAACTCTCCAATGTGGCTTCAGAGTTACTTGGCACATGGGACATAAGTCGAGTCCAAGTGAAGTGGGCTAAGCAGAGGTTGTCGTCAGCAGAACGTTGGACTCCGAGCATGCCATGGAAATCGTGGAGACGAAAGAGCAAGGTGGCTTTTTCCCAGGAGCCTTGTTCTCTTGACCATTGGCCATTACGAACTTTGGGATTTCACTCTACGCTTGAATCTCTCCGTCCTTCTTGATTGGCCTTCCATGTAGTGAGTGGCTCCTGTGTGGAGGTATGTGCATCCCGAAACGCAGATGTACCGCATCGCCTTTGGAACGCGAGAAGGCTAGACCGGCACGATAAGGGAGAGACGGCTCGCCCTAAGCCTGTAGGACGAGTCGCCCCCGGAGCTCCGGTTTTTGGACCATGGTCGTTTCTTTTTGCCCTCACTTTTAGGAGGACTGTGACTGCTGAACTCCTGCTCCAATAGTCCTGTGTGTTGTCTCCAGTCTTGTCTCAATAAGAGTGCCCATCCGTCACCCAGCTGTTCAACGGTGGGAACTGTGCCTACGCAGCCCGCTAGCCAGCCTAGGGGTTACAAGCATTGAGGATGCGACGCTCCATGTCTGCCTCCGTCATATTCTGGCTCTCCACTTTAGACAGGACGAGCTCCTAAACAAACTCTACAGAAACGACTTTACCAACATCGTAGAGAAAACTAGTGGGCCACAATGGGCTGTACATCTCCACCTCAAGGCCACCAACCACACCATGAACCACACCATGAACCACACCGTGAACCACACCGTGAACCACACCACCAACCACACCGCGAACCACACAGAGGTTCGCTGGCTCGAGACAAAAAATGGTTTGAGAGAGGGGTGAAAGAAGCCATTTTTGTGAGGAAACAAACCTTAACAGAGGAGGCGGGTTAAGATTTGTTTTGCCTCGTATCTATGACGACGTCCTAAAAACAACGCCCCAACTATAGATGAGGTCAGTGTGGTGCTAATGAGTGAGGAGTGGTTAGACCTGCACTCCACTCCAGCAATCTGGTAGTTGGTTGGTTGGAACTATAACCTAACCCTTTCTGGAAAAAAAACTATTAAAGAACTGAAGGTCAGGAACCAGGAGGATTGACAGGTGTACAATGGTGAGAGGGCAGATGTAGGCGCACCGAGCCCTGGCAATCCAAGATGTCTCTCTTGATAAAGTCAAAGAACCTGGCATGGTCTAACCAGTGGGGGATGGTCAAAAACATAGGGATTGCTACGTCCATTCATATTGACAGTCTATGGGTCTAACCTGTCCTCGAAGGGCACTGCTCTTGGTATCTGCCGCTTCACAACATCCTCCAAAAAGTGGTTGAGTTTCTAAAGCGGAACATTTTGCAGAATGTGAGAAGGTTCAATCCGTGTGCATAATAGTGGGTAAACAGGGCTTCCGTAACCTTTTATTTTATCTGGGCCAGCAATCCATTAAGCTCTGGGCTTTATTTATGGCATTCTTTGTCTTATCCACTGACACCGCGACAAATTGGGCTGCATTGATCTCTTTTCAAAATCCTTTCAGGGAGCATCACGACTGCTTCAATCACCTCCAAATGTCAAGTTAACGTTCATCTTATCACAATTGGATTGATTTGTGCTCTCATCATTGCAACAAAATACCAGATTCTGTTTAGCTAAAAAGCAGGTTTCATTGATGAGGTCCTTTTTTTCTTAGCCTTAGCTTTGTTTGAGCTGATTTTAAAGTCCTATTCAGACGGGATTAGTATTACCTGAGGACCTCTGGTAATTTGTAATAATCAGGGAGGACGTCTGAGATCTTAGTCCAGTGCGAATGCGCCATGTCTGTGATTTGTAGTAATAATAAAAGTAATAATTCCGCCGCAAACAATCTCCTCTATTTGTTCAAACACAGACGTCCTCTGATAATACTAATCCTGTGAATCTGCATGTCAGTGATTGTGATTGCTATTGCCGCCTTCTCTGCTTTCTGCGTTGTTAATATCTCCGCCGGCTCTACTTGACTCAACTAGACGCGACTCGGTTTGAGAATGTTTCCATCGCTCCTGTGTTAGTTATTAACGTTTGCTGCCTCTTTTTACAGTTGATTGGCACCCTGGCAGAACCCCTCCGGAGAGAGGACAGTCCTTCTGGGAAACACAGGTGCTTGAGAACTTTATAGAGAAAGACTGGTACCTTAACTTCAGAATGCCCAAAGAGGCCTTCAACAAAGTGTGCGACGAGCTACGCCAACCTGTCAACACTCAGCCCACCAAGATGCTGGCACCTGTACCGTTGGAAAAGAGGGTTGCACTCACATGATTGTGTATTGTAATTCACTGTAAATGTTATTTTTTCTTTACTTGGAATAAACAAACAAACTGTTTACAGGCTTGCCAGTAATGTTGAGTTCCATGATGTTGCTAATCTGTTTGGTATTGGGACCGGCACATCTTCTGGAAAAGATGTGAGGCACTAAGTGAACTCCAGAGGACGTATGGGAAGAGGCCAAAATCTGTCCCTGAAGTCAATGCAATCATCACTGTTTTTGAGAGGAAGACAAAATTCCCCATGTGTGTTGGTGCTTTGGATGGCTCACACATCCCTATCATTGCCCCAAAATATTGTCCTACAATAGAAAAGGGTGCTATAGTATTCTTCTTCAAGGGCTTGTAGACCACACTTCTAAGTTCATAGACTTTGATGTTGGCTGGCCTGGAAAGTGCCACGATGCATATGTTTTTGAGTTCTCCCGTTTGTGCCGCTTCCTCGAGGATGGCACTTTTTTCCCTCCAGTCACCAGTAACATCCAAGGGGTCGACATACCTGCCCGGACTGTTGCAGATTCTGCCTACAACTTGACCATTCCCAGATTGTGCAGCAAGAGGACCGAGGGCAACCAACGATGCCTGTCTGAGCCATGCACGCATCCACGTAGAGCACGCATTTGGCCGCCTTAAGGGTTGTTGGCGATGCATCATGAAGAGAAATGATTCTCAAATAGAAAAAGTGAAGTATGTTGTGACGGCTTGCATAGTGTTGCACAACTTCTGTGAGCTACAGAATGTTGCCTACCAGGAAGTACCCCAAGAAGCCATGGAGGAGCAACAAGAGGCAAGACCAGAGCAGCAGGATGCACAAGATGATCCTGGTCTCTCCTCAGCAGATCGCATCCGTGAAGCCTTGGTGGCTCATATCCACTATATTCAGCCCTTATTTTATAATCTAAAATGAAATATATTGTTGAAAAATAATTATTATTTTCTGTGAAATGAAAATGTTTATCTGTCCTATCCTCCTGTGGACTCACCACCTGCAGAGGGTCAGTGAGGGGCTGGTGCTATGAGACTTGGGTGGCATCTCTGACTGCCACCCCCCTGACCCAGAAATGGATTAAAGGGAAGAAAATGGATGGATGGATGGATGGAAAATGTTTACTTTACAGTGCACTTGTAAATGTTAATTTATTAATTAAAAAGTGCAAAATATTTTTACATAAGTTCAACTGAAAAAATTGCATAGGGCTTCTTCCAAGTGAACAAATACAATACAATTTATTCTTGTATCGCCCTAAATCACAACAGTATCATCTCAGAGACTTAACAAAACTATTGAAATCACCAACACATATCAGAATCAACAATTAAAACACATAAAGAATATAGAACACATGTTGATAAATGACAAACATGTTGTAGAATGTTAAAGTGTCCTGGATCACCACAGTCCTTCTAGTTGGACACTAACTGCCCAACAGACCCAAGGAAAAACTCATAAGAAAACCCAGTGGGAAAAAAGTGAGAAACCTCGGGGAGAACCACGGTTTGAGAAAGGGATCCGCTCCTCCGGACGGACAGGCTAATGATCCAGGACCTAAGCTAGCTACAGAACGTGGACCAGTGGCCGCTAAACGTGGACAGGTCCGGTGCAGGACTGAAGCACTCCCAGGCGGGTCGGGCGGGGCAGTCCGCAGGTGTAGATGGAGGAGGCTAGGCTCAGAGATCCTGTCATTGTACCATGAAACAGACAATGGGACAACGGGTGAATAGCAATGAACAAACTACAGTCAAAATCCTAATAATGCTAAACAGATAAAGGCCCCGTCCCAATTCTCGCCCTTGCCCTTAAAAAGCACACTTGCCCTAGCGTTTGCGCGTGCCCGCGCGAGTGCAAGGGTGTCCCAATACTTAGGGAGACGAGGCGAGGGTCTTCACTGCCCTAAAAACCACCCTTGAGCGCAAGTGAGGTCGGGAGCTCACTTGCGAGCGAGGGTGATCCCATGATGCATTGCGAACTCGGCAAACCAGCTTTTCCAAATGAACATGGCGCCGACTCTCGGAAGCGAAAGCTACAAATGTAAGTACAATTTCACACAAACATGCACTCTAAAAGCTATGAAACGTGTCAGAATTATGTGGGTACGCAATTTGTTCTACAATGTAGAATGCCGGTGTTGGCTCGCTGTTTCGTACGTGTGCATGTGCATGGCATGGTGTGCATTGAATTCATAAACATAGGTAAGCGTTTGTCTTCACCATTAACGTTGGTTGTGTGTTTGCAAACCTGCGCAAACAGCTTGCAGTAGTAGTGGAACTGAACAATTGACCAACGCTGTTTTTCCCCCAGGGACCACGGAGAAAACCTTTGTTCTCATAAATTACAGAGCTGCGAATGAAGCCAATTTTATGAAAACTAAATTTCAGACAAAAAGTCTGTGGCAGTAAGTGAAACTACTATTCTTAATAATAATGCTATTGAACACAGCTAAATGCCTATACCTCACTGTATGTTCACAGGCAAGCAGTGAAAGAGCTGGGCCTGGAGGGGAAAGTGACCCACAAGCAGGTCAGTAAGAAGTGGGAGAACCTGAAGAAGCGCTACAAGGTAATTATCTGCAAATATATCTGCCTGGTTAATCCTGTAACCTCAACTCACTTTGCTGTGTGTGTGTGTAGGACCTAAGGGACCCAAAGACTGGCTCAGGCACAGATAGTGGGGAGAAGACCGCTTCAAACTGGCCGTATTATGCTGTGCTTCACGCAGTCTTGGGGGGAAGGCCTGCTGTGGATCCCCCTGTTGTTGTGGCGTCTTTCAGGCCAGCTGAAGACCCTACAGCTTTGCTAATGGTAAGAAACAAGGGAATATTTTTATACTGTAGGGGCGGTGTACAATAAACATTAACCCAAAGGAAAGATGCATTGAACCACTAGTCCCTGAGCAGGTTGTTGTCAAACAGTAAAATGTAAGTAATTGGAGGAATTATCCGACCAAAATTTCTATTTCATTTACCACAAGTTAAATAAAAAACACTGGCCAGCCCCATTATTCACTTATTATAAAGACATTTCTGCACTGAATTCACACAGACACGTCACACATGGAAACAGAGTTGCCTTTCCAATAGACATGTTTTTGTACTGCATGTGAATACTTTTAGTTCAGTGCAGGTGATGATCTCAGTTGGGAGTGAGTCCAGAACATTTTGGGACGCTGCACTCTCCACGTGCTGTAGACCGAGTGGCATGTGTACTTTGTGATGTGTACACACTGCTATGTCAGTGCTTGTAGCCGTGCAGTTAATAACTTTATTTGGCATGACGTGACAATAATTTGTCTCCAACAGGCCATTGTCAATCCTGACGAGACCCCCAGTGAGGATACTCAGTTGGGCTCTGCCTCCTCTGCACCATCGACCCGGTCTGCTTCTCCAGCTTGTTGTATTAAATATAGGCTAAAAGGCGATGTGAATTAGATTGACCTGAAATTGAACTCTGTCTGTCTCCAAGCAAAAAGAAAGACCTTGTATTGCCCTACTCCCCTGGTCCCATTTTGTCCAAAGTGCATGGGTGAGTTAATGATAGTTAATCTGGGGGGATTCTGCTAATCTTTTCAAGTTGTGAAAGAAGGAGAGCTTTCTGCCTTATCTCAAAGGAACCAATAAATCTATAGGTTGGGGAGGGGGAGTGTGTGAATGATTATGTCTAGGTCTGGCGAGACGGAGAAGACATGATGGAGGCCGGACCCGGGACCCGAGAGAAACGACACGCCCCCTTCTTCATGCACATTTGCTTAAATAACCTCATGCTTGTTTTAGACTAGACTGGATCAGGGACAGCAGTGTGACTTTGCGTGGAGCGCCCACCAAAGTTATACTTTATACTTTATATAGGGAACAAGGGATAGTTAAAGTTGGTCCAGGTCGTTGTGTTAGATTCTTTTGTATTAGGGAAATAAACCTTTTTTGAATTTAACTTTCTGAATCCTGGTCATCTTTATAAGGGATTTTGAACACGTCATTTTTTAATACAATAATTGGTGACCCTCGACGTGATCCCTTTGATGACTTTTCGCCTTCCCTTGGACTCTGCGTCTCTCCTCAAAGCGGCCGCTGATTTGAAGGTAAGCAGATACCTTTTGACTAATTAAAAATCTGCATATTGGACTAACCAAATCAAGGGGAGAGGAGTTTTGTCCACGGAGGAGCTAATTCAAATCGTAAAAATAGTAAAAGCCTAAAAAGTAGTGAGAGCCTTGCGAAAATACGTTAAAATTAAATAAAATAGGAGTCTAAGTAGCTAGAACCCTGCGAGAATATATTAAAAGTAAAGATTTTTTGAGAAGCCTTGCCAGAAACAGGAAAGCCCGCTGTGACTAGCGTGGTTGACGGACGCGTCAACACACAAGTTAGGTTTAACCCATTGGAGCCTGGGGGAATTTTGGCCCCCCCCAAAAATGGAGACAGGCATTCAAATCGAGCAGCTCTATAAAGAGATAGAGGCTCAGATTCTGAGTGGTCTGGATAAAAAATATAGGAACAAGGCAAAACGAAAGGCTGTGAAAGCATGGGAAAAAATACAGAACAAAAGGGTCATACTTGAGTATATGACAGCGTCCGCATTAGCTAAGATTTTGCGGGAAGAGGAAAATAATTTAAAACAGGATAAACTAGACCTTGAGGGAAAGCAGGGAGAGAGTTGGAATGAGCGTAGAAAAATTAAGGCGGAACTAAAAAAGGCTGAGAAACTGAGGACCAAGGTACATAATTTTGCTTTGGCTGCCACGGCGTTGGCAAAATTACCGATGGTAAGTAAAGACAAGGAAACAGAAAACGGAGCAATGCCGGTGAGTAATATATACCCATCCCTACCCACGGCTCCACCAAAGTACTCTCTAGGTTTAGAACCAGGTAAGCCAAATCTAATATTGCCACAATATACATTTTCAGGAGAAGTGGCGGTAAGAAAGAGAGGGGACAATGACTTTGTAGACAGTGAATTTGACGAAGGGACAGAAGAGGAGTCTGTGGGGGACAATAGAGATCC